AAATCACCTTCTTACCGGGGATAATGATCGAGACTTTCACAAAACGTTTGTCCCGGTTTTGCGCAATTTGGAGTGTGCCCTGGAGGTGCAGGTACAAAAGGCTCGTAACGTGGTCGTCCTGGACATCCGTACTTGGGGCAAGGCACATCGTAAGCGTTCGCTAAGGATGCCTGTAAACAAATTGAAAATAAAATTCTATGCGCAATTAAAACAATGAAATACATATAACAAATGTATGAAACGTTTAGTTTTTTTAATTAAGTAATAAACGTACATTCAATTACTACGATCTACGAAATTAATTTAACACGAATTAATGCTTTCATTCAAATATATCGTTTAAAAGTTTGAAAATAATTGATTATGCAAGAACTTATTGATATTGTATATTTAAAAGTTTACAATTATTTTAAATAAAGAAAAATTAATAGATAGAATATTCAAAATTTATTTAGAAATAATTAGAAAAATAGGGATGATTGATTTTGATGAAACAAAAATTTAAATTTGACTTATATTTATCTGCCTTATTGTTTCAATATATAAATGAAGGGTTTTAAGAATGATTAATGTAAATTATATTTTCCCAAAATAATTTATATAAAATCTTCTTATTGTTTAAATTTTTAATCAATTAAACATAAACAAAGTAGTAATTTAATTGTCAATTAAAAGTATATAAATTGATCATTGATCAACTTAGCTTTTAAATCTGATTGTAATAAATAAGTTTAATATATGATTTTCACTTGAAATTCCTTATTTTCAAATTTTTGGAAATTTTTCATAAAAATGAATAAAACAAATAGAATTATACAATTATTTGATCTAGAAAATTAATGAATTAACAAAAATTGAAAGATATCATAAATATATCATATATTAGAACAAGTAAAATTCCTGGATGTAACGATAAATATAATAGTTGTTTAAAATATTTTTAATATTTTCTATTTAATATATATTTGTATTAGCTAAACAAAATCGAGATTAACGTAACTCAGTCATTTGTATAAAATTTCTATAAAGATTATTAGGAGAAATCTTCTGCTTGGTTATTGCGGAATCCCAGTGAATCATGCTTCTCTGAAATGGTTCCATTGGCTCGCGGCGCTATACATATATGGAATGTTAATTTTACGTTCTTCCACTTTTATTAAAAATAACCGATATTAATGATCTATCTCATTTGCGTTTCTAATTGTATTGTACAAATTTAAATGTTTACATTGAAAGATAAATATGTTATTCATTTGTTTCATCATATTCGTATTCAAGTATTTTTTTATTGGTCCACTTTTGAACTGAAACTTTAATGCTGGTTATATTGTCTGTTCCAAATTATAAAGCGATATTTGAATATGATGTAATATGCAATATTATTTAAGAATTTTCTTAAATAATACCACTTTCTATGATAATCAATATCAGCTTCTTTGTCGATGTACAAAAAATACTCTAAAACTTTAAATATTGAAACAACTTCTTTTTTCGAAAATAAAATGAATTACAAATATTTAATAAAAAAAAATAATATTTATAATAATGCATGCAAATTTTAAATGAAAGAAGATTAAACGAATCATAAATGAAAATGATGGTTAGTATTCGTTAATTTATTAAATTAAAAAAATATTCTAATACTGAAATTGTATTATGAAAAAGCATAATGAACATAAATTTATGACTAAAATTACGATCCATTTGATTTTAATCAAATTACTGAATTATCAGTTTTACCATCATTTATTCATATATACAAAATCTTCTGTTTTATTTTCACTTATATATACATCCGGTATATTACGAAAAGCACGAGGTTGTCGTAATCTTACAAAAGATTGAATAGAGAGTCTTACGCCAGATATTACAGTACGCGTCAGAACTGAGCATTACATTTCACTTACAGCTTTCACGATACAAGGAACTATTCGTTCTACAGATCATTGTTTGCTGTGCCTAACACAGTAGTCATATGTGCTATCGTGGAATGTGTGTTCAGTAGAGTGGAACGAAAAAAATCAAAGTTATATGATTATTTTCCAATGATGAAAAAATAATTGTTTCTAACCTTTTAGATTTAACATGTAAAATATAGTTTCTATAAAATTAATTTTTGAATAAAATATTGAAAAAAATTTATAAAATCAATGAAAATAACAATTTTTATATAGTTTAATATTAAAAATTTTTTAAATTTTAATAGCTTAAATATTATTATATTAATTTTTATTTGAAATCATGAATAACGAAAAAAAATTTTCTACATCTTATTCCGTTGTAATATTCATTCAAATGAATTACATTTTCACATATAAAAAATTTTTATATTTGTAATATATATTTGGCATTTATATTATAACAATATTGCAAATACATTATTGATACTTACACTTAAATACGATATAAATTTATTATATATTTATAAATATTTCAATGTAAATTTTTATTTATAATTATAATTATTTATAATTATATATACGTTGTAATTTTGTTGTAATAATGCTATAACAATAGAACAAGGATTAAGGCAATCTTTGATTTCGGAATAGTTTCATTCATCGGCAAACTAGAAAGTTATGTACTTGTTATCTTTACCGATTCTAACCACGTCGAATCTAAACTGCGTCCAGTCGAAATTTCGCCTCGATTTTGAAGTATATATACATATACATATACACATTTATGCATTAAAAACGAAGCAATTGACAATTGATAATTTGTCTACTTTTATCACGAGATTTACTATTAAGATACAAAGATATACTCAACCTTTTTAACTTTTTTACTAATAAAATCATATTTCTACTTACAATCATTATTACGGCCAAAAATAATTTCATTTTCGAGATGATAAAATAAATTCGGACCACCATAATAGATTCAGTTTGAAAACACTTCACCAAGTCAAAACAATTATATCACTATCCTTTGTAACTAATTTTAACCACACCGCGATATCTTTCGCGAGGGTTGGTATCTTTTAAAAAAATCAAATCACATAATTATAAATTTTGCGCGAGTCTCTCACGGAACTAGGTTACCGTAACACGATAAATGATTATAGTGAAGCACGTGTCGATATATCCGCGGATGCGCTTTACAAGCTAGATGGATCGTAGAAACACCGATGTGTAATCATTGAGTCATGTGTGGCGCGACCGTTGACAGATATTGTCGATCGCGAAAAAGATATGTCTTGCTGCGAACGATTAATTTGTTAAAAAAAAAAAACATTTTTCTTAAAAATGGACTGCGCGAGTGAATTACAGGATAACTAATGGATTATACATGAACAGGAATCAGTAAAATCAGTGATTGAAACGAATGAAACTTTTCGTTGTGCATATAAAGATTTTTTTAAATTTAAGATTATTTAAATTTAATTTAAATATTTCGATTAAGTATGATACACGGATGCAATAATTATAGTCTAATTCACACTTGAAAAATTAATTACAAGCACCACTATGTGACGGTATATTCGGGCTATAGAGAACGAGTATGACCGTCGATATCTTAGTCACCGCCACTGACACCGTATATATGTATTCCGTGGCGTTAAGTCCAGATTCCGTCGGGGTTTGTCCTGTACGATTTTAAACGCGGCAATCTTACCTAGCAACGTGGGTAACTCGGTGTACCGATACCAATACTCGCATCCGTACCCCTTCCTTTTGCACGCATGCACGAGTTCCGACCGAGTGATGAAGTGGGGTGCACAGGTATATACTTTCACTAGTGCCCGTGTTCCGTATCGCGCTCCATTCGACCTTACACGTTGACAAAGATCGTGTCGCTAGAACGGGATCAATGAAATTGCGTAAAGAAGAAGGTCGACTAGATAGTTAAAGGTTTTGCTTTTATTTCTTTATTATCGGCTAGAATTGATTCAATCTCTTTCTATTAACGAAGCTAAGAACAGTTTTGAATAGAAAACGTTTTTTTACATATAAATATGAAAAATAATTAAACAAAAGCAGAAATCAATATATTTGAAAAAAAATATTTATTTGATGGCAATATTAATCTCTTTCATGTTATATTTAATTATTAATATTTGATTTATATTATCTTTGAATAAATATGAATGTTTTCTAATAATTTTTTTAATAAACATATAATAATATAAACATAATTCTTATATTATAACAATATTTAATTGTTATAATGATATTTATATTTTGAATATTGAAAACAATTGTTTGAAGTCATGCGCGTTTATGTAAAATATCTAAGAGCTCCATCTGTGTATATAATTGAGAATTTAATGTTAATTGATAACATTTTCATAAGTTTATTTACATATTCATGAAAAATATTTTTCATTAGAATTCTAATTGCTTAATTGTTTAAAAATAATAAAAATTTTAATCAAAATCTGTTATTTATATTTACGTATTTATATATTTGAAAATTCAGAGTATTTACAATGTAATTTACAATATAAATTTATAAATATTACGCATAATAAATATTAAATTTGAATAAAAAATAATAAATTCTGACAAGATTAATACAAATCAGTAATAGCTAAATGCATAATTAAAAAAATTAATCTTATCAAAAATAGTTCCAAATATGGCCACAAGATGCCAGACAAGTAATCTGGATAAATTTCATTTTTGTCTTGTTAACGTAAATTAGTATACATATAAAATACTGAGGAAAGATGCGAAAGAGTTAAACATATTTCGAACACCTTTCAAAAGAATTAATTGTTATGTATATGTTTTGCTATGTGAGTTTGTTGTGTCGTTAAATTTCATAAGAAGAACCCGAACCTCTCGATACTAAAGACTATACGCTCCTGTTACGGCATAGCGTGATCATAGCCATGGCGACTACTGCTTCATCGCGGGTAGATGAACTCGTACAAACTGTCACTTTGCATAATCCTCGGAAATTACTATTCACGGGATATGTTCTGCCCTCTGTGATATTACACACTGTGTGGATTTATAGTTGGATTTTTGTCTACGGAATTGATGAATATTATGATGCGGGTTTAGTGGGCATTGCAGCTATCGGCGTATTACAAATTTTCATATGTTTGTGTTGCCAGTGGTCAGTGCATATACACACTTTTTTTAATTGTAGCTCGGTGAGTTGACGATTGTTTATTATAAGAAAATATAATAATTTAATAATTCGCACGTGTATTGTTCAATATGTTTCGTTAACGTGGCAGCCATTCGAACCGGCCTTCTATTCCGATAAGTCACATGGTTGGTTGGCGGGAAATTTTAAATTATAAAAATATAAATCATTTTAGGAAAAAAATCCATATAACGCGAAAATTGCAAAAGTAGTTCCTACTCCTAATAATGGAAGTTCAGAACTTGTTAAATTACATCATTCTGAACAACAAGAACCATGGTTTATATTTCAAAAGACCAAATATTACTGGAATTCGGATAAAAAAACTTTTCAAGGCCTTCAATTTCCAATTAATCACTCTGTTAAACATTATTGCGAATGGAAAGGATATTTAGATGAAAAAGATATTGCAGCAGCAGAGGAAAAATATGGGAAAAATAAGTAAGTATATTTCTTTAAATTGTTAAAAACTATATAATTCAATTCTTTTATTTTTTATTACTTTCATATAGGTTAGATATGGTTGTACCAGAATTTAGAGAACTATTCAAAGAAAGAGCAATTGCACCATTTTTTGTTTTCCAACTATTTTGCGTAGCATTATGGTGTTTTGATAAATATTGGTATTATAGTATATTTACATTAGTTATGCTCATTATGTTTGAATGTACACTTGTGCAACAGCAACTTCGAAATATGGCTGAAATTAGAAAAATGGGAAACAAACCATACACAATGATGGTTAGTGAATATTTTACAAATAAATGCATATTATATAAAATATATATAATAATATTATTTTTATCAAAGGTTTATAGGAACAGACGATGGCATTCCATGTTTACTGATCAATTAATTCCTGGTGATATTGTATCTATTACACGATCTCAAAATGATAATTTAGTGCCATGTGATATGTTACTTTTAAGAGGACCTTGTGTTGTTGATGAGAGTATGCTAACAGGTGAATTAATTATAAATTAAATAGCATATTAATTTGTAATTTAATTTTGATTTTTTATATGTTTTGATTATTAATGATTAATGTATTAATTTTATTATTATTGATAGGTGAATCAGTTCCTCAAATGAAGGAACCCATAGAAGAAATTGATGGAAATAGACAGTTGGATATAGAAGGTGATGATAAACTTCATGTACTTTTTGGGGGTACAAAAGTTGTACAACATACTCCACCAAGTAAAAGTGTATCTGGTCTTAAAGGTATTTTTTTTATTCAAATATAAATATAATTTAAATATAATAATTAAAGATAATAAATATAATAATTTTATACAATACATAGTATATATTTTTTATGTGAAAACTTTCAGCTACTGATAATGGCTGTGTAGCCTATGTTTTACGTACTGGATTTTCAACATCACAGGGAAAACTTTTGAGAACAATATTATTTGGAGTTAAACGTGTTACTGCTAATAATTTGGAAACATTTGGTTTTATTTTATTCTTGCTAATTTTTGCAATTGCTGCAGCATCATATGTGTGGATTAAAGGTATATAATATGTAAATAAATAAAACATATATTAATTTAAATGAATGTATAAAAATATTTTTAAATTATTAATAATTCATTAATATACAGGAAGTGAGGATCCTACTAGAAATAGATATAAATTGTTTTTGGAATGTACTCTTATTCTAACATCAGTTGTACCTCCAGAATTGCCTATTGAACTATCATTAGCTGTAAATACTTCATTATTGGCCTTATCAAAATTAGGTATTTAGAACATATGTAGAAATAATATTCAATTATATATATATTTTTTTTAATAAAAAATTATAATAAATAATTTTATTATATAGGTGTATTTTGCACTGAACCCTTCAGAATTCCGTTTGCTGGAAAAATTGAAATATGTTGTTTTGATAAAACTGGTACTTTGACTAGTGATAATTTGGTCGTCGAAGGTATAGCGGGGATTGAGTAAGAATAATCAAATAACTTTTAAATTTAATTTAATATTTATGTAATAATTAATATAAGAATTTATATTAAAAAATTATTTATTATTTTAGAGGAAAACCAGATGTTATGCAACTTTCTGATGCGCCTATAGAAAGTATTCAAGTACTTGCAACTTGCCATTCTCTTGTACAATTAGATGATGGAATTGTTGGAGATCCTCTTGAGAAAGCTACATTAAAAGCTATTAAATGGAATCTTACAAAAAGTATTTTATTATATATTATTTTATTATATTATATAAAATTTTTTTGACAAAATTCTAATTTATTTTAATTTATTTTAGCTGATTCTATGATACCTAGAAAAGGACAATCACCTGTCTTAAAAATCGTACAAAGACATCACTTTTCTTCCGCGTTAAAACGTATGTCAGTTGTAGCTGGATATACAATACCTGGATCATCAGAAATTAATTACATGACTACTGTGAAAGGTGCTCCTGAAATTATTAAGAATATGGTTTGTAAAATAATAAGTTGTTTATTTTATTGTCACAATATATTTTAAATATTTTATTTTATTTATTTATTTTTTTAGTTATCATCTATACCAGATAATTATGATTCAACATATTTATCGCTTTCGCGTCGTGGAGCAAGAGTTTTAGCTTTAGGATATCGAAAACTTCCTGGTCCTTTATCTTCGCAAGATTTAAGAGAACTTACACGAGAAGAATTAGAAAAGAATCTCATTTTTGCTGGATTTGTAATCATAAGTTGTCCGCTTAAACCCGATTCTAAAGCTGTTATTAAGGAGATCGTGAATGCTTCACATTCGGTAATATATATATATATATATAACTTAAATATATATTTAAATTTTTTTTATAAATAGTGCAATTTTATGAATTGTTACTTTTGTTATTGTAGGTTGTTATGATTACTGGTGATAATCCTTTAACAGCATGTCATGTTAGTCGTGAATTACATTTTACAAAAAAATCAATTACACTTATATTGACTTCAAATAATGGAGAATGGATATGGGAAAGTGTGGATAGAAAAATAATTACCTTGGAATGAAAAATATTTCTCGGAATAATGAAATATGGCGAGAATATGCACTTTGTGTAACAGGAGAAGTAAGTTGTATAAAAAAAATATTTTAATTATATATCAATATGCAATTTTTAATATATCATTTTTAGGGTTTAACATATTTAAAAGATAATGAACGAGAGTTACTTCGTAAATTATTACCACATATTGTAATTTTTGCAAGATGTGAACCAAAACAGAAAGAATTTATAATTGTTTCATTGCAAAATTTAGGATAC